AAAAAAAAAAAATGTTTTTTAATGTTTTAAAAAATCATTTTTATTTCTTTCCTTAAATCCCATATTTGTCCACTCAGTATGATCATATTTTTCTTTAATTTTTTGAACACACTTTTCTTATAATTTTCTGAACATATTTAAAATAGCTGCTTTCAAGTCTGCCTACTAAATGCAAAATCTGAACCATTTTGTCATCAGTGTCTATAGATTGCTTTTTCCCTTATCTGTGGTTCACATTTTCCTATTTATTTGCATGTTGAGCAATTTTCAGTAGTATCTGGAAATCGTGGCTGATAATGAGACTCTGGATTCTGTTATCTTCTTTAGAAGAGCGTTAATTCTTGTCCTAGTCAGTTCAGTTACTGGCTCGTCACCTTGAACTTGTTTGTTTAGGCTTATTTTTATGTTTTGTTAGGGTGGATATGTGGAAAAACTAAGGCGTTTCCTCAGCTTCTCTAATGTGGAAGAACTCAACCTCCAAACCCCAGACTTATGTTGGTTAGGGCAGGTCTATGGAGACCTTTCTTTAGGCATGGTCACTCATAGTGACATTCTGATATGATAGCTCAGCTCATATACAGGGCACTAATGAGACACTAATGAGGCCTCTTCACTGTGTCTGGCTTGGAACTTCAACATCCCCCAGCACTCCTGAACCTCTATCTCTGATCTGTTCTCAACTCTGGAGGGGTCACTCTCTGGTCAAGGGCTCACTGGGACACCTCACATAGACTTTTGGGCTCCCCCTGTGTATGACTCCTCATTTCGTCACAGCATCTGCTCCAGACCCTGATCTCTGCCTCCTTAGCTCAGTGGGACCACTGTGTTCTGCATGGATTCTAGCCCCATGGTCAGAAAACTCCCAGGTAGAGTGTTGCGATGATCATGAGGTGCCTTTCATGAGTTTTGCCTCTTTTAGGGATTATGGTCTCGTGCTGCTTGTCTACATTCCCAAAACAACAGCCTCTATATAGTTTCTCCAGTCCTGTGGTTGTGTGTGGAGGGAGGGGTACTCTGCCACCAGCGATGCTGCCATGGCTGGAAGCTGCTCCAGGAGCCCTCTGACCGGCTCCAGGTTGGCTGATGTCTAGGCTGCTGCTCAGGTTTTATCCTGGGATCTCTCCATCATCCTGGCATCTCCCTTTGCCTCCCTTTTCAGTTGAACTCTCTGTTTTCTGGGTTCCACATTTTCTTATTTTTGGTTGACTTCTTTTATATAGAGAAACTTTCAGTCACTCCCTGAGGAAGGGTGCCAAGAAGGTGAATTTTTCAAGGAATGTATTTCTGGGAATGCCTTTATTAAACCCTCACACTTGAATGTTGGTTGGTTGGGTAGAGAACTCTTAAGTTGGAAATAATTTTTTTCCTCATTTTAAGGCATTATTTCATTGGCTATCTAATGCCACATGGGTTTTGTGTTCATTCTTCTTGCTTTGTTCTAGAATTTCCACCCATGGATGCAGTGTGGTCTGCTCTGCCCCATTCTGTGTGTGCTTGGCCCCTCAGCCAATTCTGGGTACTTTGCTTGAAATACTTGTTTGATTTCCTCTCCTTGATTTTACTGTTCTTTTTTTCTGAAACTCTGATTATCCTGCTCTCCTAGGCTGGTTCTATAATTTTCTTTTCTTTTCTTTTCTTTTTGAGACAGAGTCTCGCTCGCTCTGTCACCCAGGCTGTAGTGAAGCGGCGTGATCGTAGCTCACTGGAACCTCCGTCTCCCAGCTTCAAGTGATTCTTCTGCCTCAGCCTCCCCAGTAGCTGGGATTACAGGTGTGCACCACCACACCCAGCTAATTTTTATATTTTTAGTAGAGATGGGGTTTTACCATGTTGGCCAGGCTATTCTCGAACTCTTTATCTCAGGTGATCCTCCTGCCTCGGCCTCCCAAAGTGCTGGGATTACAGGCGTGGGCCACTGTGCCCAGTGCATAATTTTATTTTCTCTTTTTTTCATTTCTTTGTATTTTTCTCTACTTTGGAGGGATTTCTTCAACTTTATCTTCAACCCTCGTGTTGCGTTTTTCATTTATGTTATCATATTTTTAATTGAGCTTATTTTTCTTTCTGAATGCCCCTTACCAAAAAAGATAGTATTCTTTTCTCGTTTGATGGGTCTTTCCCTATTTCTGAAATATTGATGATTGCTTGAGGACTTTGCCTCTGTGTTGTTTGTTTCTTCCACCTTGCACTTTTGCTGTTGTTTGGCCTGTGTCTTTCATGTTACGTGTTCTCCTCACTCTTCTCCACACCAGAGGTTTTCTGGATCCCATGCTTGTGTGGTGCACACATAAACCTTGCATTTCACCCCATGCTGCCACGTGTGAGCTGCTAGATGCATGAACTATAGGCCTGGTTTTCTTGGAGCCACTCACTGAGGAGTAAATGGGACAACTCAGGAAAGGGCCCAGAGCTTTAACTCTCAGACTTCTCTTTGTTGGGGCTGGGAAAATGGTGGTCACCTCCACAGTGCCAGGGACAGAGGTCCTGCCTTCAGGAACTGTCTGGGCCTCTGTGGTCTTTCCCTACCCCAGACAGACCTTGAGAGAAAGACCTTTCTTCCATACCTTGAGAACTAGGTAAAGAGGCACCCGAGTGTTTTTGCCTGCAAAGGGTGCTGATGGACCTGCAGCTCAGCATGCATGACAGGCTCAGTGCCTGTCTTCAGAGAGCCACGAGAACCTGTGATTGGTGGGGCAGAGAAGACACACCCAATCCCCTGAGGCATTTGGTCACCGAGAGCCTGGGCAGATGCCTGCCCAAAGTCCAGGCTCTCCCAGGCCCACAGCTTGTGATGTCTGCCCAGAGTGGGCAGCCTCCTGGCCCCACGCAGGCCTCTGCCCCTGCCTGGCCTGGTGTCCATCCTGCCAGACTCTGCTTCTAAAAGACGCTAGGGAAGTTCCACCTGCCCACGGGCACCTCTCCTCCACAGCCCACATCTGGTGGGAGGTGGGGTGGAGTAGGTGTTAAATGAAGACATGGGTGGGAAAAGCCCCCAAGCTCCTTGCTTTGGCCAAGCTGGGTAAGCTGATAGAAACTGCCTTGTACTCAAAGGTCCCATGGGAGGACTCTGCCCATTGCCACCACCAGGCACCCTTCCCATAGCTGTCATCACCAAGCTGTACAGTCCTGAGGGAACCCTAATGCTGGAGGAGCCTCACACATGCTGGGTACATGGTGCTCTTGCAGGGGAGGGGAACTGGCTGTGTGCGCTGCCAGCCGTGCAGCACACCTGGAGCCAGCTTTCCAGCCGCCGGCCACTTGAGCTCTGGTGGTTCTGTGTTCCCAGCAGTGGGTCCAGTGGTGAGGGGAGAGGGGCATACAGAAGATCTGGGCCAACTCAGAGTATACCCTTCCTCCACCTTTCCCCAGAGACCCTAGAAGGCCAGGACAGGGGCTGCTCACCTTCCCTTTGCATCATTTTTTCAGTAAGGTTGCACCATTGAGTTGCTTTCTAAGGGCTCAGAAGCCCTCTCTGTGTGTGTGTGCACCTCCTGGCCCAGTAGAACCATGACTCTGGGTGTGGGTCTATGGGGTCGCTCTGCCTGTCCCTGTGTTCACCTTGTGCCACTGGGTTCACTGAGGAACCCTGTTTCTTTAGCTGCAGATTTGGGACACAGCCGGCCAGGAGCGGTTCCGCACCATCACCCAGAGCTACTACCGCAGTGCCAACGGGGCCATCCTCGCCTATGACATCACCAAGAGGAGCTCCTTCCTGTCAGTGCCTCACTGGATCGGGGATGTGAGGAAGTATGCAGGCTCCAATATTGTGCAGCTGCTGATCGGTGAGTGAGGGGTTCCTCGGGACCACGAATCCCATCACTCTGCCTATCTCTGCCTCTCTCTGCTTTTTTTTTTTTTTTTTCTTCCGGTACCTAATCATGTAGTCCTCAATAACCTCGCTTTTTAAACACAGGATAAGCCTGAGTCCAGAGGGAGTCCCAGCCAGAGTTTGAGCCATGGTTTTGCAAATCCTGGTCCCACTAATCATTTATACAGTAATATTCAGATTTGTAGTTAGAGGAAAGAAGAAAGGGAGCTGAAGCTTGCTCTGCAATTCTCATGTGTTTCCATAGGCTCTGCACGTCATTGGTCTTCACATGTGTCAAAGTTTATTTCTTGTATCCCAGCTTCTCCTCGTTTGACAGGGACTGGGGCTAGGCTCAGAAAAGTGGGGTAACTTATCTGGGCCCACCCCGCCTATGAGCATACACATGTAGGCTTTGAGTTTGTTTTTGCTGACCTCAAGTCTGTGGGTTTCTATTATGCCGCACACAGAGCAGGGACACTTGATGGCCTGTGTGCCTCAGCATCTTGCAGAAGACTTCTTCAAGTGCGGGTGCAGGGCCTCGCCTCCAGAGTGTCTGATCCAGGAGGGTTGGGTAGGGCCCATGAATGTGCATTTCTAACAAGTTCCCAGGTGACACCCACCTTGCTGGTCCAAGGACCCCGCTATGAGAACTGCTATAAAAGGATGCTGTTTACCTCTGTTTTCCTTCTATATAACCTTCCCAGACCTAGACTGGAGAAGCTCTTTAGCCCTTATGTTATCCCTGGGGTCCTTGCCCCAACAGGTTGATTCTTTTTTTTTTTTTTGAGATGGAGTCTCAGTCACCCAGGCTGGAGTGCCATGGCAGGATCTTGGGTCACTGCAACCTCCCCGGTTCAAGCAATTCTCCTGCTTCAGCCTCCCGAGTAGCTGGGCCAACAGGTTGATTCTTCTGACTCAAATGTACAGACGGCCTGGACCTGACGCTAGCTGGGAAGAGGGTGGTGCCTGGTTCCATGTGGCCTGCCTTCCACAGCCTGCTTGGACTCGGAGATGGAGCTTGGCAGGAATGGAGCTTTCCCCACCTGGCCTAACCATTTCCCTTTTATCCAGAACATTTTTTTTTTTTGAGACAGAGTCTCGCTCTGTTGCCCAGGCTGGAGTGCTGTGGTGCTATCTCGGCTCACTGCAGCCTCCACCTCTCTGGTTCAAGCAGTTCTCTACTTCAGCCTCCTGAGTAGCTGGGATTACAGGTGCCTACCACCACGCCCAGCTAATTTTTGTGTTTTAGTAGAGACAAGGTTTTGCCTTGTTGACAGGGCTGGTCTTGCACTCCTGACCTCATGATCCACCTGGCTTGGCCTCCCAAAGTGCTGGCATTATAGGCGTGAGCCACCATGCTTGATCTATTCAGAACATTTCTGAAAAATATCCTAGCCAGGCCTGGTGGCTCACATCTGTAATCCTAACACTTTGAGAGGCCGAAGTGGGCAGATTGCCTGAATTCAGGAGTTCAAGACCAGCCTGGGCAATATGGTGAAACCTTGCCTCTACTAAAAATACAAAAATTAGCTGGACATGGTGGTGCATGCCTATAATCCCAGCTATAGGGGAGGCCAGGTGTAAGAATCGCTTGAACCTGGTAGGCAGAGATTGTAGTGAGCCAGATTGTACCACTGCACTCCAGTGTGGGTGACAGGGAGACTCTGTCTCCCAAAAAATAAATTAATTAAAAAACATTATATTATAAAACATTTTATACAGCTACAAAAATGCATTTTATGTATTTATTTATACATACATATATATAGATGTATACAGACACATATATTTTTAGAGATGCAGTCTTGCTGTGTTGCCCAGGCTGATCTTAAACTCCTGACCTCAAGCAATCTTCCTGCCTTAAACTACGAGTAGTTGGAATTACAGGTGTGAGCCACTATATCTGGCTTAGAATAGTATAATAATGAGCCCCTAGGTACCCATCACCCTGCTTCAGCAATTGGCAACACAAGTCCAACCTCCTGTCATCTGTACCATGTCACCTCCTCCCCTCGTATTATTGAGACAAATTCACATCAAACTATTTTTTACCTGGCAGTATTCTAACATGAACCTACAAAATATGTAAACATTTTTTTAAAAACCCAGCAATATTATTTTCTCATCTAAACATACATTTCCTTAATAATATCAAATAGCCAGTCTGTATTCAGATTTATAATTGCTCATAAAATTCATATGTGCTTTATTTTTTCCAGTTTGTTAAGACCAGGTTCCAAATAAGTTTCACATTTTGAAATTGGTTGCTATGTTCATTAAGGTTACCAAGGAATTTTAGATCTTTACAGACTTTTTTTTTTTTTTTTGAGATGGAGTTTTGCTCTTGTTGCCCAGGCTGGAGTGCAGTGGTATGATCTTGGCTCACTGCAACCTCTGCCTCCTGGGTTCAAACGATTCTCCTGCCTCAG